AGCTGCCAACATTTTAAACAAGGAGGTGAGGTGTTGGAGCAAGTTGTAGAGCCTGACGTAACACAACCACTGTTGTGATTGCACCTGGGTCAGCATGAGTCTCTCAGGTCCACATCCTGTCCTAAAAGACCTGAGTTCTGTCCCATCTTTGTTGTGAGTGTCATAGTCCTGTCCTTGTTTCTGAAGCGCATGTTGCTGTCCTGCCAGTCCTGCTGTCCTCAGGCTGTCCCAGCATGGGCACGACGTCCGCACAGCTCTCCTGCCTCTCTCAGAAGGCCCTCAGCACGGCACCTTGTGGACACCCCTGTGTCAGACTGGGAAAGAGCCACAAATGTTTAGCAGCTGTCATACAGTCCAATGATAAGCACTTCATCCCTAAAGACCCCCTGAGCACAGCTAGTGAGATGAAGAAGGGGGAGGAGATGTGGAATTTCATAATCTATGTAATGCAACATTTCTTTAACCATGAAGGCCATCATGAGAGGAATGAAGTCATGATAGGATTAATGAACACTTTGCTTTCTCTCTGAGGAAACACACCTAATGAGGATTTACAAATCAAGCTTGCTGGAGGATAAGATTATAATGAACCTCAGTTCTGAGTCCTCAAGGGCTTTGCTGCAGGGCTAAGGTTCAGCTGACTTGCTCTGATATCAGACCATCGAGATGGTGCTGAGACACGGAGCCTATAAGATTTGAAACAGCTTCACTAATGAAGCGATTATTTGATTATTTGGATTTAACAATGCAGGGGGGTTCATATACAAGGTGGGGTGTACAGTGATTTATGCAAAGAGTAAAATTATTAACACATGAGTATAAGGGTAAAAATTCTAATGGCACAATGAAACATTCAATGATTCTGCTGGAGCAAAGATTATTTCTCGGCTAGGTGTGACGTTGCAAGGAGGTGCAGTCATTTCACAAGAAAACAAGGCCGAGAGCATTGCTGCTATCATGAATGTCAGGACAGACACGTGCATCATGCTCCAGGAATCCAAGCTTTGTTAGCTTTAGTAAAACACAGCCTCACTTCAGCATCACTGCTCGTCTGGGTCTGCGATGACACAAGCACATCCGAACGGCCACTCGCGGAAAGAGCACGACTCCGGAGTTCTTATGTTTCTGAATCACAGCTTTATATCACTTCCCTTCATCCTCCTGTAGCCCACATGCAGTTTGGCATCTTGGCTGACTACTGATAGAAAAAGAGATGTGTGTCTTTAGGCGAAATGTAGCTGCTGTAATTAGTGAGCTGCTCTGGTTTTCTGCAGTGATACAGTTTGCGAGGGCTGTATAGGGTATCACTGGAGTATACAGTATAAGAAAGGAAGCAGTCATGCCAAAATGCAGTGAGCCAAGGTAATGGTAGGAGGCTGCAAGGTCTGTGCTTAAGCTGCTATGTCAAATAGGGACTCTCCCAACTCGCCTAAAAATCTCCTTTTGCCTGCATGTGCTGCCCTAAATGATATTCTAAAACTGGTAAGCATTTATAATGTCAGCTATTGTTATTTGATGAAAGTATCGTGTTATGTTGCAGTTTTTTTAAGCAGCAGTCAATGACACTATTTTATAATTGCTTACATTTATATAGCGCTTTTCTGGACACTCCACTCAAAGTACTTTACAGGTAATGGGGATCCCCTCCACCACCACCAGTGTGCAGCCCCACCTGGATGATGCAATGGCAGCCATAGTGCGCCAGAACGCTCACCACACACCAGCCCTCAGTGGGGAGGAGAACAGAGTGATAAAGCGGCTTGTATATTAAGAGCTACAATGGATATTTTATGGGTTTATGCACGCATTTTAAAAATGTGTATTTGCATTAATGTAAAATAGGTTGCATGATGGCTGCTATTTTTTGTGTTATTACAACCTAGCCAAGCACTGACTGGGCGTGTTTAAACTTTCTAGTAGGGATCATAGCAATCCAGAGCCCATTCTCAGCAGCATAGGGCACATGGTGGGACCATACAACAGACAGGACACTAGTCCAACGGAGGGCACACACACTGACACAGGGGTATTTCAGAGTCACCAATTAACCCAGGGAGGAGGCAGGTAAACCATGCAGAGATTCCAAATTCAACCATGCAAACTCCACACAGCAAGTGCCCGAGCCTGGAATGAGACCCAAGAGGTGTGAGGCAGCAAAGCTAGCTTCCTTATCACCATGATGCCAGTCATGGCCTCCTGGCACTCAGAGCCCTGCTTTGACATGCCTGCTTCATGGCATCCTTTTGCTGCTTCTCCTCACTTCTGCCTAAAGAAACGTACTCTGCCCACAGGGTCCAAATGTGGTTTTATCAAAGCTTTAAAAAACACCCATACAGGAATTCAGCACTGTCTGCATTATGCCAGGAGTGCGCTTGCAGCATCAGCATACTGTTCTGTTTCTCTCCTGCTCCGTTCTGCTTAGCCAGACAAGACCCGCTCTCCGAGGCCAGCAGCCCTGAGGTTACTACCACTGCTGAGCTTCGGAAGGCTTACAGAAGCACAGCGTATTGAGTTTAATTTTCTTAAAAACAGAATCGCTGCCAAAAATGGCCTGTTTCCTTTGCACTTGACTGTGAGAACAACAAAATCTTTATGTTTTTTTAACAGCACAGTCTTTTTCTGTTTCACCAGTACAATCTTTAACTTTTGAAAGTTTTGGTCTGCTTGCCAAAAGACATGAGAGGGGAATTGTTTCAGCTCCTGTGGTTCCTGGGGTTCATAATTTATCCTGAGTCACATGCAGCTGAATGATTGCGGACTGTTCCAGATGATGAAGTTGGATCTTGGTCAAATTGGTCACCAGAACTGTATAAAGTACAAAATCCTAAAGGCCTGCTAAAGATATGCACTCTCATTTATTTTTACTGGATACAGTGTGAAGCTTTGCCCTTTCAAATCCTCCTAGATGTGTTTCACCCGTGCTGAACTTGTTAAACTTTTGCCATCTTTCATTTTAGTAGTTTTTTTCAGTGATTCCTGGGCCTATGGTGGGAGAAGGGAGGAAAAATCGAAAAACATACCGTGTCCAGACTTTCATAGCAGACCACACGGAAATATAATATCTTTAAAGCAAATATTAATAAGGAATAACTCTGGCCAGGTGTTTTTAGCTGTTTAATTACCAGAGTTAAGCCTTGCTGCTGATTTCAGACTCTGCCACTAAATATAGCGCCTGAAAACAAAAGCTCACACCTGTCCCTGGCACGCTGGCCCCTCAGCTCCACTGCAGGGGCCTGTGCCAGCCTACGCTCTCATGCCAAGCGTCAATGCCAAGAATAGATGAAATTTGCATAAAATCCTCTGTGACACTGTGGTTTCGTCATGGCTCCCCAGCTGGTGAATGTCACATGACACAGCTCAAGACAAGGATAAGGGGCGATGTGTGATTGCAGTGCAAAGTCTTGTCTGAACAGAGGTGAAAGTGCTACCATGTAGTAGTTGAAATTAACTGCTTAACCATGTAGTTAAAGTGCAATGTTATAGCCTAAACATGTCTGCCAAAGAGCAGAAACACTGTGAACAACAGGAGGAATCACTGGTTGTCCTGTGCTGGGAGGTTTCTGGGAGGTTTTACACTCTTAAATGTGAGCGGGGCTACAAAATGTGGCTTCGTCTTTAAAATGCTGTGGTCAGCAACTCGTCATCCAAGTGACGTCATCCAATGAATCCAAGTTCCACTGTAAATGCGAATATGAAACCTTAGGAAAGCACCAGGGTTTTGAGCTCAGGTCTTGTTTTTTTTTTAAATGATCTGGCTTATAATTGTGAGACAATCAGCCGGCTGATGTCCCAGAGCCCAGGAGGTTTGATGTTGACTGTGATGGGATGAGCAGCCCTGGTGCTGGGGCATAAACAGCGAGGTCTTCTCTTGCACCTCTGTGGAGGAGGCTGGATTGGTACTCGCTAAAACTGCAAGCTCACAGCCTAACTACGGAGAGAAAGACTTACTGTATCTGTAAGTGGCAACTTCTGTTGGGCCTGCTTAGACAGAACACTGAGGACAGAGTTATAGGGACTTGGTTTTAACCAGTTGGAGGTGCATAAATCCCAGTGTTTATGTAGGGCTCACTAGGACCGGATTTTGGTATTCGAAGGCCCTAGGCACTTTTACTCCAAAATGTGCAAAAAGAGGGGTAAACTCCAATTGAATTATGTCGATTGACATGATGCACATTAAAGGTAAGGATTAAGGAGGGGTGCTTCAGTTTACAGTGGGTTACAAGGTCAAAGTAGCAAACACTGTCAACCATTTCTAATGGCTCCTCATAAACTCTCTCCGGTATTTACACTGCCTGGTCAAAGTCCAGCCCCTGGGCTGCTGCCCCCAGCCTGCCTTGTGGGTGCATCCCTAAGAGGAGGTGCAGCAGCTAAAGCGACCGGTGCGGCGCAACACTATTCTAATGCTAAACCACATGATCGATGGAGTCGAGCGACCATCACTTCGATTCGTCTAGTTTCTAGAACAGCTGCTAGATAGCGTATGATTATTGATTTGGAGCACCTAGAGTTGATTGCAAGCATGTTGCTTCAGCTCGTTTTTCATTAGTCACTAGAATGTTTCCCTCCTTCTTAGGCCCTAAGAATTTCGTAGGCTCTCGACACTGTGCCTGCAGTGCCTAATGCGAAATCTGGCACTGGAGCTGACATGAATTCTTTTAGGACCCTGTCCCAGTTTTAATGCTTGGTTTTTCAAGATCTGTTTAAAGAGTCCCTTTGCAGAGGACTCTGGGATACCGAAGGACAGATCACATTGGCACTGGGGTCTCTGCTCCAAATCTTACAAGCCTCTCATGCCTGTCGAGCCACAGTATCTCCCTGCCCACCCATCTGTCTGTCTTTTGGGTCCTTTATGACGCCCTGCCAGTCAGAGGGAATGCACCGGGTTGCGTGGGGGGTGTGGGACAGCATGGTGCCACAGTGAACTGGTCATGGGAAATGTACAGACATCTTAAGATCTTGGCGTTTGCCTGTTGACACCTGACCTTTCTGAACCTTTGCAGGATTATCCATGAGGATGGCTTCTCCGGTGAAGACGTGAAGCAGTACAAGCCTGTGGTGTACAGTAACACAATCCAGTCTCTGGCAGCTATCGTCCGTGCAATGGACACTCTGGGCATCGAGTATGGGGACAAGGAAAGAAGAGTAAGTCTGTTTCTGTTTTTTTACATTCGTTTTCACATCCTGTCACTGCAGTTTGATTACCTGTGTGCTTTAGGCCTGCTGGGTAAATGTGATCCGCTGTTGTTCATTGTCGATGCACAAATTTACTGTGTAATCTGGCTCTTCATGCTTGTGCATTGGTGCTGAAAATCATGGCAGACCACTGCTTACACATCAGAAGCAGAAACACAGCTGGGGTTTTGTTCAAATAAAAATAAAAAAACAAGAGTTTAAAAATCTCCAGCATTACCTTAAGATGCTTTTTATGCGGTAGTTATTTGGTCTAATCTGGCATTGGCTTGATGATAATGCATCATCAGCACTGAAAATAGTGAAATCCCAGGACATCTTCCAGAAAAACTGCAGCAGTCCCAACAGAACTGAGACAAGAGGCAGTCCTGTCACGCACCATCAGGAATAAGGGAAGAATAATGGACTGTTGGGAGGCCCAAAAGTGCTTTAAATCATGAAAAGGGTCCCACATCTTGCATCCGGTTTCTTTTTGCAAAATGAAGCTGCAGGAGTATAGATGACTCCTCCTGGCCATGACTAGTCGGAATGCAGAGTATTAGTTGTTGTCTAGTAATAATAATTATTAATAATAATCATAATAACTGCTTATGCCTATATAGCGCTTTTCTGGACACTCCACTGAAAGTACTTTACAGGTAATTGGGATCCCTTCCACCACCACCAGTGTGCAGCCCCACCTGGATTATGCGACAGCAGCCATAGTGCGCCAGTACGCTCCCCACACACACACTCAGTGGGGTGGAGAGCAGAGTGATGTAGCCAGTTTATAGAGGGGGATTATTAGGAGGCCAGGGGGAAATTTGGCCAGGACACCAGGATAACACCCCCACTCTTTTTGAGAAACACCCTGGGATTTTTAATGACCACAGAGAGTCAGGACCTCGGTTTTATGTCTCATCCGAAAGACAGCGCCTTTTCACAGTATAGTGTCCCCGTCACTATACTGGGGCATTAGGACCCACATAGACTGCAGGGTGAGCTCCCCCTACTGGTCTCACTAACACCACTTCCAGCAGTTTTTCCCAGGAGTCTGCCATCCAGATACTGACCAGGCTCACATCTGCTAAGCTTCAGTGGGCTGCCAGCTGGGAGTTGCAGGGTGATATGGCAGCTGGCTCAAGTGTGGAGCTGGGAGTTGCAGGGCACATGGGTGAGAGGCTCTTGCAGAAGGGAGCTGCTTAGCCTGAGGCAGTCAGCAGACCAGCAGTTTCAGGGCAGATCACAACGGCTCAACGGCTTTTCCACCTGGGTGGGCAAGAGTCTTAACTGGGTGGCACCTACAGCCCCCTGACCCTGCTCCTCTGTCCTTACAGAACGGCATTGCATTGGCCAGGTTACTTCACCAGGCCCTGTGGCATTTTCCAGGACGTCATTCCTGCCCTGTCCCTCAGGAGATAAACAGATAGAAATAGAAAATAAAGCGATCTTTGTTAGAAGTAACTGACATGCCCTGTCCAGGAAGGACAGGATGTAGCTGTGGCCGGAGGCTGACTGAGGGCTCAGTGTTGATGGGGCCACATGCGCTCTGTGTGCCAGCTGTTTGTCAGTTGAGCCATGCGGCAGTGCCAGGCAGCCCCTGGGGTGAACTTACAGCTGCAGGATCAGGCTCTCGCCTGCCACTCGCCTGCTCCGAGCCTCACTAGCTGGGCACTGTTGCTTTTCCAGTCACCGTTGCACTGTTGTTTTAATGGAATAATGATCTGATCTGGTGCTGGAGGAAATAAAGCACTCTCTCAGGTCCAGTATCCGAAGGATCTGCCTTCAGCTCAGGGAACACGTGCTTCTCAGGTCTATTTGATTTTGATGCGGAGTTGTCCGTGGGCACGACTCTGAGCTCTTGGGTTCGATTCTGGACTGGGGCGCTGTTTGTGTGGAGTCTGCATGTTTCTCTAAATTGTCCATGAGTGTGCTCTGTGATAAACTGGTGTCCCTTCCAACAGCTTTTTGATAATGACAGATGCATGGATTGCACTGGAATTTTTAAACACTACCAGCTCACTCAGGGCCTGAGAGGCAAACAGGAGTACTTGTACAATCACAGTGGGGAATTACGGTTACGTTTGACAAGGATGAAGAGACTCAGAAGACATTTTGCTCTTTTTCATCTTCCTCCTCCCAGGACAGAAGAAATAGAAGCTTAATTTGGTCACTTTTGTGAAGATAATGGCCAGTGACACACTGAATTACTGATATTTATTTAACTAAGGAAACAAAAGGGCTCTCTCTGGTTTATCTCCTTCTTAAAACAAATACTTAAAATAAATCATGCAGGAACACCCAGATGCAGCTGGAGAAATTGCTCTAATCTGTTGTTATTTGTCTGAAAAGGTTCCCTTTGTTCTTTTCTATTGCTGATTTCGTACATCACCAGCTCCGACAGGTGGAAAGGTCCAGGCTGCACCGGGGTTGCAGGATGTGAGCTGAGCACCTGGATGTCACCTGGGTGCAGAAAAGGGCCTATTATCCGAAGTTCTGTTAACATTAAAAATAAGTCTAAATTTGAACATGTGTTTCCACAGTTGAGGTAAATTAACATGGTGTTGTACAAGGGAGATTTCCTTGAAGGTTCAAATTTCTTTCTGGTTAAAACTTAAGATTCTAACTGTGCGTGCAGGATGTTCTTGGCCTTGCTGGCTGCTATACTTTTAATGACAAGTGTGAAGTCATCAGAGGCCTGACCTCAACCTGCAGGCCCTGATTAAGGCATCGTCTTTCGCAGCCTGGAGCTGTGACTTGCTACCAGCAGAAGCATCTGTTAGGAAACGGCAGAAATTATCTGTCTGTGTCCCTCAGTGTAATTGCAATGTTTGGAAAAATATGCTACAAAAAAGGTGCTCCTTCACTCAAGTGAGACTGGAAAACAGAGCTCTTTTCAGAATCCATTGCAGAACGTCACTGTCAGGGGCAATTTGTAGCTGGAGTGGTGATGTCCCCTGTGGCCTGTCCAGACCTGTCTCCTGGCTCTGTTCACCAACTACGAATCCAGCCAAGCCTGCCAGCAAAGTAAGGGAAAATTAAGGATAACGATGGACTTAATTTGCGACATTGGAAGAAAACTCTTGTTTAGTAAAATTGGCCTCTAACCCCCCTACACACACAGCAGTCACCTCTTATCTTCCTTCAAGCTTTGTTGACATTCCCTGTAATCGTTCAGTGATCCTTGGCTGTTGCCATGGCTACAGAGTCTCGGCTCCCATGAGACTCTGTGGGGGAGGAGAATTAGGCACAGGTGCTCAGGTCCTCACCTTAGCTTTGACAAAACGCTAACCCCGTTCATCCCTTCACCCTTCTTTTTATTCAGGTCACATGAGAGTGTTTTTGAAAGCATGAGAAAGCATGTCATTTTTTAAAATCACGCTTCAGGGTTAAATCTGTTTTTTTATTTCTCAGAAGCGTTTTTTTTTTTACAGTTTTGAGATTAAAAATACACTGAAAAACAAGGCAAAAATTAAAATAAACTATCCCTTGCCCCTGTCCGGCTCCACTCTACTAACAAGCTGCTGAACCCAGAACAGCCAGTGTCAATTTCATCCTCTGCACTCCACCTAAGCAAATACTTAAAATGTAAATGCTTATTTTTTGTTTATTCATTTGACTGGTATCCAAAGTAACTTTCATGTGGAACTGTTAATAAAGCCATGGGTTTACTAGCGCTGCCTCAGGAAAGCACCTTGCTCAAGGGCTTCATTATGAATTGGCTTCATTACCCAGCTCTCCTCCCCACTGATAGCTGGTGTGTGGTGAGCGTTCTGGCGCACTATGGCTGCTGTTGCATCATCCAGGTGGGGCTGCACACTGGTGGTGGTGGAGGGGAGTCCCCATTACCTGTAAAGCGCTTTGAGTGGAGTGTCCAGAAAAGCGCTATATAAGTGTAAGCAATTATTATAAACAGCAGCATCTCACCGGGGATTCGAACCCACAACCTTCTTGTTAAAATACCACGAAAACACCCAGCTCCATCTGGTTCGTGAGTCATTGTTTTGAGGGAGATGCCGATAGCAGAAATGTAGAAACCCAGTGTACCCTTCTGTGGCTCACACACCCAATAAGGTCGATTCTCAGCTAACAGCTGCCCTTGATCAGTTGTACTTTCACCCAAGCATTTGCAAGGCAAAGAGAACTCACACCTGAGAGCTCTGCAGCACAACTCACTTTCAGTTCCACTGTTATGGATCCTTTAAAAGGTAGAGTATTGTAAGAAGAAAGATTTCTTATAAAGGCACAATTCAGCCATTCTTCATAGTAATATGACTTGAAACGGAAACACTTCACATACAAAAATGCATTTTGAAAGCGTTTTGGTGTTTATCAATTTTGCAAGGTGGAAGTCAGAATACCCCTCTAAGAAAATAAAAAATATGTGCTAGGGTAAAAAACAGAGTCGCAGAATTAAGCTCTCAAGAGGCTTGTTTCAGGAGATTGAAAACAATGCAGGAGCTTTCAGTACAGAAGCCCTGTCGGAACTGAACAGAGAGGTAGTTCAGTCTTTACACGTGGCCTAATCCTGTGGAAGTATTTGTGCGTCGTGTTGTTGAAAACCTGGAGTCAACCGCAGCTCCAGAAGGCCTGCACTGCTGCTCAGCTCGCTGCTGCCCAGGGTGTGTGTGGTTGTGCCAGTGTATGACTGCCGTGCTCTGAGGGAGGCTGCTGGGGATTGGCAGGGTGGTCGATGGCTTGGTTGTAGGGTGGCAGGGCATGTGAGGGTGCAGGAGGCGTGCACGGTGGCTGGGTGGGAAGGGCGCTCTGTGGAGACAGGTGGGAGCCATGCAGCAGGTGCCACCGGTTAATCATACAAACTAATCAGCTTCACCTGCCTCAGCCTGTAAACTGTGACGTCCTCTGTCTGCCCGCCCAGACCCACAGGGACAGCTGCTGCAGAACACCTGCTGGCTCTCCATGCCTGCTCTCTTTTTGTGCTGGGAGGTGAGGCTGTAAGCTTAGGGAAGAGG